AGATCAGACTGCCCAAAGCCCCATCCAATCTGTACAAAAACCTCACTGGACAGCCTGTGCCAGCACCTCACCATTCTCTCAGTAAAAAACTACCCTCTGACATCTAATCTAAATCTCCTCCTTTAATTTAAAACCATTTCCTCTTCTCCTCTCACTATTTACCCATGTAAAAAAGTTGATTTCCCTCATGTTTATAAGCTCCCTTTAAATACTGGAAGGCCTTCCACAGTAGTAGTTCCCTTCTACTGGAAGGCTGTCTTCCCACAGCCTTCTCTCTTCTGGTTTGAACAAGTCCAGTTTCTTCAGCCTGTCTTAACAGGAGAGGTGCTCCAGCCCTTGGATCATCTTCATGGCCCTCCTCTGGACTCTCCCCAAAAGCTCCACATCTTACCAGAGCTGAGGGCCCCAGACCTGGACACCATACTCCTGCTGGGCCTCATAAGGACAGAATAGAGGTGGAAAATCATCTCCCCCATCCTACTGGCCAGAGGTGGAAAATCATCTCCCCCATCCTGCTGGCCACCCGTCTTCTGCTAGAACCCAGAATACCATTGGCTGCCTGGGCTACAAGTGCACACTGTTGGCTCATGATAAGCTTTTCATCAACCAGCACCCCAAAGTCCTTCTGAGCAGGACTACTCTCAAAGATTTCTTCTCCCAGTTTGTATACATATCTGGGATTACTTCAAGCCAAGTGCAAAACCCGTCTGAAGATTTTCCTGTAGGGGCACTGGTTTTAGTCCTCAGGAGAGTGCCCACCTCAGTAACAACAGAGGTCAGGAATGCTTCTCTGGTTATGAACCTGCAAGGAAGGTACAGAGCCCTGTTAGCACAAAGTGCTGCAAAAACTGCTGCCTCATGGTCTCACTGCCATGCCATGCCATGTTTGCCTGTCCTGGTTGCTCATGCTCCCGAGGGGCTGCCTGTGTATGTGTCGGGGTGGCAACTGCTGGTCCTAGCCCTGCCCACAACTTGTCAGCCACTCTCTCTTAAGAGGGCACGGGGGTTCTGGCAGCTCCATGTGGCTCTCTCCTCACCCTGGGGTCTCCACAATTTCAAGATCCCTGTCACACCATAATACCCTTCTCTCTGCAAAATGCACTGGCACCTGAGCTCATCTCCTCAGAGCTGATCACTGTCTGGAACTGATTGTCCTCATATAAGCTGTTGCTGTTTCTGAGACTATGTAAGAACTGTGCACATGAGAGATGATGTGTCATAACCATTACCATCACAGCTTCAGATCACAAAATCTTCTATAAATATTTAAATCTATTCTGTTCCAGGAATGAGCCTAATACTTAATTGTACTTTGGTGAAACACTCACAAAACAAGAATTATTCATCAGTTGTAAACAACAAAAAAAGTTGAATTACAGCTAATAGAAGGCTTGAGACATTAAACCAGGTATGTCCAACTCACAGTCCACAGGCCACAGCCACATGCAGCCCAGCCCAGACCAGTGTGCCTCCGTAATGTCATTCAAAACAGAATTAAAAAAAAAAAAAATTAAAATTGTGGATGAAGGAAAACTGTTCAATAAAAAATGGACAGGTTAATACTTCTTTTGTTAAGATAAATATTATAGTACTACGCTTAACTTTAAGAAAAAATGGGTCCGTTTTCAAAAATTACAATTTGAAAATACATCATGACAATTTTGATGCATCTTAAGGAATGTTTCATAAAGACAAATAGTGGAACTGAAAAAAGTCTATCACTTCACAACTTTTTTTATTTTTTTAAAGTAACAGTGTAGACTCTGTTATAAAAGCTAGTTATGTTAGTAGATCTGATTGCACACACAAAAAAAAAATCAAAACCATTCACTGATGGTTTTGCACTGGCAGGTAAGCAATGGATAGAAAACATGGCAGATACAATTTGTCCTGATAAAAATAATACACTTTTCTAAAATCAATTTGTCTCCACCAAACTATAGCCAGACAAACTGAAGAAATAGGATAATTGATCAGAAGAAATTTGGAGAGTAAAGACGCTAATTTCAAATTTTATGCTGTGACAGTTGATCAAATGATGCTATAAATATAGCTTAACTAACCATTTTTATTAGAAGTATTGTTAACCAATACAATGGCACTGAAGAAATGGCTATGAAAAAACAGAACTAAATATCTTGATTTGTATGAAGTAGTAAAAATTATATTAAAGTGTTTTTCTTAAACCTTTGTTGGCATATCAGGTATAGCTATTGATAGCATCTCAGAAATGGTTGGTAAAAAGGAGATTATGATGGTGGCTCTGCCCTGTTGAGTGGGCCAGCCCAGCCCCAGGCATGTACTCACATGGTTCAGCAACAACCAGATACTAGTGACTGGCACTGTATGGGCTGAAACCAGGGCACAGGGTGTAATACACAAGGCACAATGTGTAGCAACTCAAGTTATGGCAAATAATTTTATGCATTTTGATACACTGGCTAAACACAGCCCTATGAACAGTGAAAAATATGCAGCACTTTCCATTTTGTTAAAATAATTTGAGACTAGGGTTAAGATTGCTGAATAAAATCCACTTTTTGTAAATTTCCAGCTCCATTTTCAGTTGACATAATCACATTACATGCACAATTTCAAATGGAAGGTACAGAGCTGCAATCAGATGCTCAACTCAAAAATTTGATCATGCCTCTTTACTAGACTTCCATAACAACTATCCTACCAAAGAAAAACATCCCTCACTTTATAATCATGCTTTATTCACATCATCACTTCTGGTAGTACATACATTTGTGAACAACTGTTCTCAGGGATGAAAACCAGGCAAATCATATGTCCTGCACTTCATTCACAACAACCGCATACAACATCCCGGGCTCGGGACAGAGTGGCTGGAAACTTGTATAGAGGAAAAGAATACAGGGATGTTAATTGACAGCTGGCTGAACATGAGCCAGCAATGTGCCTAGGTGGCCAAGAAGACCAATGGCATCCTGGCTTATAGTCAGCAGGAGCAGGGAGATGATTGTACCTCTGTGCTCAGCACTGGTGAGGCCACACTTTGAGTACTGTGATCAGTTTTGAGCCCCTCACTAACAAGACAGACACTGAGGCCCTGGAACACATCCCGAGAAGGAAAATGAAGTTGGTGAGGGATCTGGAGCACAAGTCTTACAAGGAGCAGCTGAGTAAACTGGAATTGTTTAGTCTGGAGAAGAGAAGGCTCAGGGGAGAACTTACTGCTCTCAACAACTGCTTGACAGGAGGTTGTACTAAGGTGGGACTAAGGCCTCTTCTCCCAGGTGGCTAGTGACAGGACAAGAGGTAATGGTTTCAAGTTGCACCAAGGGCGGTTCAGTTCAGATATTAGGAAGAATTTCATCTCAGAGAGAGTGGAAGCACCTTGGAACAGGCTGCCCAGGGAAGTGGTGGAGTCATCATTTCTGGAGGTTTTTAAAAAAAGGGATAGCCAGCAGGGCGAGGGAGGTGATTGTCCCTCTTCTACCCTCTTGAGGCTCTACCTGCAGTACTGTGTCCAGGGATGGTGCCCTCAGCACAAGAAGGACATGAAGCTGTTGAATCAAGAACAGAGGAGTGCCATGAAGATGATCAAACAGGCTGAGGGAGATGGTCTCTTCAGTCTGGAAAAAAGAAGGCTCAATGAAAACCTCACTGTGGCCTTCAAATACTTAAAAGGAGCCTACAGTGAATAGGGAGACAATTCTTACACACTCATATAGTGATAGGACAAGGGGAAACAGTTAAACTAAAAGAGAGAAAAAGATTGAGACTGGATGTTAGAAGGAAATTTTTCAGAAAGGGTGGTAAGGCACTGGCACAGGCTGCTCAGAGAAGCTGTGGATGTTCCATTCCTGGAGGTGTTCAAGGACAGGGTGGATCTTTACTGTCAAGGTGCAAACTTATTTTTTGTTACCTCCCAGATTTGTTAAAAAACTGAGATCTTCCCAGGAGCTCCAAGAACTGAACGTGCACCAGTCATGTCAGTAGGCACATGTCTACAAGGGCTTCTCTGAAAGTAGTGCGACCTATTTTATTATGTTGGCCCAAGGTGTCAGAGGTGGATGTTGGTGTTATGGCAGCAGATGTTGAGCTTTCCCGTCAATATTCCTTACATTTTGTTGCTGTGCAACAGATGGCAGCAGAGAGGCAGTCTGACAAAATGGTGTCATCTGATAAGGAAGAGTGTATGAAGCAAAGGTATGTCTCTGAATTCCTCCACGTGGAAAAAAAAATGGCACCCACTGACAGATACTGAATTCCTCCATGCGGAAAAAAAAATAAAAATAAAAATAAAAAATGCCACCAGTTGACAGACATTCATATATGCCTGCTGAATTTTATGGGGATGTGAGCACAGTGAGGCAGCGGTGGTGCATCTCAGGAGAGGCAACAGCAACAATAACCCACTCCACTAGTGCAGATTTTTACAAGTCATGCAGGCTCTCGCTCATTGCTGATGAAAATGCAGGTAGTAGTAGCGACAATCTTGAAAAATAGTGAAAAATATTAGCTCAGAACGTGCTCAATCAAATAGCGCTATTGTGCTCTTTGTATCGGTTGCCATTTCCGTGGAAACAAAAGAGGCACCACTTTCGGAGCGACCCTCGAACATAAACACACACGGCGCTTTCAGGGAACGCCTGCTCGTAGCCACAGTTTTGCTGTAGCGTTTCGCACGCGACCTGCAGACACCCCGCGCTGTCACCGGAGGGCAGCGCGGGGCTGCGGATCGGGCACGGTAACCCGGCCGCGCGGATCCGAGCTCGCCGACCACCTCTGACGGCGGCGCCCGGCGAGACGCCCGCCCGATCGCATCGCCATAGCGACCGCGTCGCGGTCTCTCTGCTCTCCCTTTCTTCCCTCCCCCCGCCCCCGCCCAACAACGGGGCACCACGAGAGCGGACGCGCGACACTACGCGGGGTGACAGGCAGCCGACCCTCCGCCACTCCCGCGCCCCGCTGCCGGGCGACCGTCCGTCGGCGCGGCGCAGCGCGCCTCGCGGAAAGCCCCGCCCGCCGGCCGCGGGGGCGGGCGCTGAGCGGCGGTATCGCGGCCGTCCGCTAGCTATTGCCGGAAGTGGTGTGCGGCCTCACTTCCGGTGAGCTCTCGAACGGCCGGGGGCGGCGATCGGCGCTACCCGGAGCCAGGATGGCGCTGTGGCTCCCGCGGTACCGGGACGGCAGCCCCGCGGTGGAAGAGGACGAGCAGCGGGAGCTGTCTCCGGGCTCCCGACAGCGCCTGCAGGTACGCACCGAGCTGCCGGGGTCGCGTACCGTCGCAGCCCACGGTGGCGCAATTCCCCGGCCGTCGCGGGGCGCCTTAGCGCCGCCGGCCCCGCCGCCCCGCCCGGCTCCGGCCTGCCGTGGGGAGGCGGCCGCCAAGGCCGGGGGGACGCTGTGGGGCGGGGCGGGCGGGAGCGCGCCGGTGGGGCGGGTGGAGGCTGGCGGCCGGCGCTGCCCGCGGATAACAGTTTCACGTCCGGTAAGTGGCGCGGGGAGAGCCGCGCCGGAGCGATGTCCTCGTCTGTGTCTGAACGCCGGGTGTGTGGCCTATGTGCTTTTCTGCTAGCCGGCCTCTGTAAGTTCATTGCCGTGAGTTCTGTGTGTTCGTGTGTTATCAGCCTGCATCACGTGTAGCAGCCGCTACCGAATTCTCCAAACAGCGAGGTTTTCATCTCCGTCTGAGAAGGGAAACGGTCCAGAGAATTGGCACAGAACTTAGAGGCAGAAGAGACTCCCCCCATGTATGCTTTCACAGTTTGTGTTGGCCTTCGTGTCCCTGAGCCAGACGTCTTCAGCAGCACGGGTTTCATAAGGTGGCCCCCGAGGGCTGAGGGATGAATATGTGTGGAGAGGGGTGGGAAGGCACAGCGGGGGATGTACTCCCAGCACTCCTAGATTTCTGAGCAGAAATTTCCAGCATACATCTGGAAGCAATGTAAGTGCTAGTGCTGAAGAGGTCATTCTCTCCTACCTACAAGACACGATGCCTTTGATAGATTTGATCAAAAAGAGTATGCTTGTATTGGGCCTCTGCCACTTCATAATTTGCATTCTGTTTTCACTTGTCAGTTCAAAGAAAGATGTTGGCCATCTGTTGAACTACTCCACACTGGAATGCCAGCAGTTACTTTACTGTTGTTATCTTATATCACAAAACTGATACTTCTAAGAAGTGTGCATTCAAAGTATTTATCCAAGTGTTCTCATAGTTGTCTGTTGCTAGCATTCCAGCCAGAGGGAGATCACAGGAGGACCTTTCAACTGTCAGAAATAGTCTTCAGATTGTATAAATATTACTGATAGCAGTACTCGATTCAAGATTTTGCTAATACACTTAGCAAATTAATATAGCTTGAGGAAGAAATGTCATACTAAAATCCTACCTGCACTAAACCACACTTAATCACTCCTGCAGATAGAATGCTGCTTCTGAGATGCCTTCCAGATCAGCATTATCTTTAGCATTTAAGCTTGTCTGCTCCTATACAATTTGTGAACTTGTTGATTTTCCTTCCATAAAGAACATGTCTGATTTTCCTCACAGATCTATAGCCAGGAGATCGAATTAGCCTGCCAAAAAGAGAAAGAGTTCGTGAAACACTCTGTAGAATGCACATGGAATCTTGCAGAAGCTCAGCAAAAACTTGATAGCTTAGCACTGCATAACGCAGAATCCTTCGATCAAGAACACGCTCAAGCAAAGACTGAAGTTGCAGAGTTGAGATGGAGAGAGGAGGAGTGGCGAAGAAAAGAAGAAGCACTAAACCAAGGGGAAAGACAGGACCTATGGAACACAGATCTTGTTAGTAAGGAGGTATTTAATAAGGTATGGCCCATTTCATTGTGCATCAAAACATACATTACCCTCATTTTTCATTATACTTGTTAGTTTTGAGTGCAAAATCACAAGGTGTGTTAAATGTTTTCTTGTTTACTTTTATTCCCCCTCATGGAAGGGAGTAAGCTGCACTCATGCTACACATCTAGATGACATTTCATTACCAGAAGCAGAGATCAGAACTTGCGTGGTCATAAAGTACATATTGTTTGACCCAGTTTGGTAATATACCTTCTTCACACCAAGAGCTTCTCTGCTCTGCTTCTCTGATGTGCAAGATTCTCAAATGTGAAACAGTTTACTTTTAATACTGACTACTGCAATACAGGTTATATAGCAAAAACTCTTTTCAAGTGGAACATCTGCTTTGTTCTCACAACTTAATTTGAAATAAGAACATTTAGCATATTTCAGTTTCACTGCATCAGGGTTGCAGGATATATTATTCCTGTGCAAAAATCAGTGTGTGCCTTCCTGCATAGAGAACTTTCTCTGAACTTTTTTTGGCTAGTCAACTATAATGAAACTTTCCAAGTCTGTTATTAGGCAACATGCTTGTTTTAAAGAAAATCTTCTCAAGCATGTGATGTGACTCTTAAATTAGAATCTTCCTTTAGAGGGTAACATGATGACATGTAGTAGTCCTGTATATTGCAAAAAGGTATGTACGGAGATTTCTCTGGTAGTTACAGTCTTTGTTTTCCTCAGAGTTTTATTAATCAAAAAAGAAAAGAAACAGAAGATGAAGATGCAGCTGAATCATTTATGAAAAAACATGAACAGAAGATTAGACACTTTGGTAAGTGCACTTTTTCCAATATTTTCCGGTTCACATTTCTATGAACTTCTTGAAGGCTTACTCATTACTGAACAGAACAAGTGCTAACAAATGACACACTAGCAGACTGTCTAGCTTTATTTTATCAGGACAGATAATCATTTCAAAGTGAAATAAGGTGTAAACTGTTAACACCTGTGATCAGTAGTTAACTAAAAACAAGTACTCAAATAAGTGTAAGAAATAAGTGTAAGATCTTAAAACCAAAGTCTAAGTAACTTTTTTTTTTTTCTGACCATTGGAGAAGTTAGGGATATACATGGAAACATAAGTCCTGTATAGAAGCGTGCTTGGGATTGTCTGAAGCTGTCTCCTTTTAAAGAAGTGGCTTTCTGGTGGCTATTAAGTTGCAGAGGGAATGATTGTTAAAGATAAACATCTGTAAACATACTGTATGTGCACAGAATTTTGTTTGTTAAAATTATATTTATCTATCCACTAGGTGTCACCCTAGCTCCATTGTAATTGTTGAACCTCTAAGCAAAGCTCATTTTGTAAAGCAATCTTAAAAATGTGGTGGTCCTGTTAAGTACTTCCTATTTTTTGTTGCAGGCTGTTTACAGACAATGATGTAGTATAGCCATATGTCAAACTTCAGAACAATCAAGAATTGGACTGAGTTAGCAAAATATACCTAGTTCTATGATCTGAGTTCTACAAAACTGGCTTCTAGGGATCTTCAGTTGAAGCACAATACTGTCACGAATATATAAATAGTAGCAGTGGGCATACACTGTCAAATACCTGAACTGTTAAGTATAGTGATGATATAATCAGAAGATGTCTTCTCTGCTGTGAATTTCAGGAGAACAAACTGGCTTTACTGTGTTTCCTGATTAAGAGTTGGGCAAAGTTACTTTGTCTAAATTCAGATCAAGCAATTATAGAAACAATCTTCCTACAGAATGTTTTTCTTTAATTCAAAGTCATGTTGTTTTAATTCAAAATACTTAAGTTCTTAGTAAAAAGAATGTTACTTCCTTTATTCTGTGCTTGCTGCTACTAAGGGGTAGCATAGACTTCACTAGCCAGATAGGCCAAGTCTCTTTTCTGGATCCTGCTCTGCCTTTTATGTAATAGAGAACTTATGCAGAACATCTCTGCTGCTGAGAAAGCCAAAAGAAGTATTCATTATTGGTTTATTGTAGATATTTATTCATCAGAATTAAGATTAGTTTAGGTCATCTTTAGCAGAATTATAATTATATGCTGATAGATGAGTTAAGCTTTATATGTGGTACTGGTTGCCAGCAAATTATTTGACTGGTGGTGATATATGAAGAACAGCTGTATAATCAATGAATATACAGATGTTATAATTAAGAAATACACAAGAAAGTTAAGCTAATCAGGTTATCGTGCTAAAGATGAATAGATGGAAGGCTTACCCCTGTCCTGGGCTTGCTGAGAAGGCTTTAAGAGGAGCAGTCTCCAAAAGAGATCTTCCCCTAGTGCTAGTCAGCTCTTAAATGAAGTCTAGGAGAGGTGGAGCAAGGGTCCATCCCTTCCGGTAGCACAGGTGAATTGTCTTCACCTGAGGGCTGACTCATTGGTCGACTCAGGTGGTCAATCAGAGGTTCAGGCCGTGATTCAGCAATTCCCATAAAACAGCATGAAGTTGCATCAGGGGAGGCTCAAGATGGGAATTAGGAAATGGTTCTTTGACCAAAAGTATGTTTAGGGAACAGGTTCCCCAGGGTGGTGGTCCTACCCTCAAGCTGCCAGAGTTCAAGAAGCCTTTGGATGGCACTCTCAGACATAAGGTCTGAATTTTGAGTGGTCCTGCTTGTAACCAGGGGCTAGACTTAATGATCCTTGGGGGGTGCAACTGTGATTTTCTACAGGGGTATAAATGCAAGTAGATTACTTGAGACATACTGGAAGCTTGATCTCAGAAAAGCCAAATTCCAGCTCTTCAGGGACTTAGTCAACAAAACCCCCTAGGAATCTGTCCTTAAGGACAAGGGAGCAGAGCAGAGATGGCAGGTGTTTTAACAAAGCTTTCTTTAGGCCACAAGAGCTCTCCATCCCCAGGTAGCAAGTCAGGAAAGGAAAGCAAGAGATGGGTGTGGCAGAACTGAGACCTGGTGGTCAAACTGGAGAGCAAGAAGAAAATGCATAGGCAGTGAAAGCAGGGATAACTAACCTGGGGGGAGTATAGGGATGCTGCTGGGCTTTGTACGGGTGGAATCAGGAAGGCCAAGGCCCAACTGGAACTGGACTTGACAAGGGATGCAAAGAAGGATAAGAAAGTTTTCTATAGGTACATCAGTCAGAAAAGGAAAGTCCAGGAGGGCATGCGCTCCATAGTGAGCAACAAAGGCAGGCTACTAACAACAGGCAAGGAGAAAGCTGATGTACTGAGTAACTTTGCTTAATAATAATAGTTTTCACTAGTGTCTGCTCTACACACAGCTCTTGTGTGGATGGTTCGGTAGGTGGCAACTGGAGGAGTGGTGCCCCTCCTACTTTATATGAAGATCAATTTCATGACCAACTGAGAAACCTGAACATCCATAACTATATGAGTCTTGGTAGTTGTTTCACAGAGTCCTAAGGGAATTTGCTGATGTAGTCACCAAGACACTCTGACAATGATATTTGATAAGTCATGGCAGTTAGGTGAAGTCTGCAGTGTCTGGAAAGAAGGCCATGTTGTATCCATTTTTAAGAAAGGTAGAACGGATGACCCAGAGAACTACAGACTTGTTAGTCTCAGCTCATTGCTGGGGAAAATAATGGAACAGGTCCTTCTGGAAGCTATGCTGAGGCATGTGGGAGAGAGGGAAGTAATAGGAGACAACCAGCATGGCTTCACCAAGGGCAAGTCATGACTGATAAACTTCATTACTTCTTATGATGCTGTAACTGCATCAGTAGATGTGGAGCTATTGCTGTCATCTGTCTGGACTTCAGTAAGGCCTCTGACAACGTTCTGCATAACATCCTTCTCTCCGAACTAGAAACCTAAGATGGATGGATTGTTCAGTGGTCAAATAACTGGTTGTGAGATTATACCCAGAGAGTAGTGGTCAATACCTCAGTGTAATGATGGGAGACCAGTAACAGAATCACAGAATCACTAAGGTTGGAAAAGACCTATAAGATCATCCAGTCCAACCATCCACCTATCAC